ATATATATATATATTATATAGTACAAACATAAAACAGTACCAAAAATAGGTCACCATGTTTCTTTTGTCTCTTGGTAATAAAATCTCACCCACCGCAGGATTGTTTTTTTCTTCATACTCAGTATGGCTCAAACAGACCCTCATTTCGAGATATATCTTAAAGTTATTCCCACATATTCCCACTAGAAATTGGATAAACTGGTAGCCCTTTGATGGGTGCAGGCCCTTTGTGGCACTTGTTTACGGATCAGTCGCTTGGTGGCTTTGAGGTGGTTGAAAATTGATGAAAATGGCTTGGCCCACCATAGTATCATAGTGATAATCATTGATCATCTACAATTCCACCCCCAATCCATGAGTCATTGGGATGTTCGATGATTTCTGGGTAGTTTATTATACTTTCACGGCTTTCACAGTAAATCATCGACAAAGATTTTGGCGATTTTGAAGCATGCCAGATTGGAATTACCTGATGAACACCAACTGGTTGGTGGTTTGGAACATTTGTTATTTTTCCATATGTTGGGAATCTCATAATCCCAACTGACGAACTCCATCATTTTTCAGAGGGGTAGGTCAACCACCAACCAGCTAGCCATAGCGATGGCAGGAATGGTGGAAACACCAGGGATGGCATGGCAGTGTTTATCCACCCTGACAAATCACCGGCCAAGGCCTTGCTGCCCACTGCAAGATTCCAACGAGGTTGGATGGGTACCCAACAAAATCGCCAAAGGGATAAACCAGAAGATTCATTTGTTGGGTTATTTTCAGACAATGGATCAAAGCCATACTTTTGAGAATGGCATGCTGATGAAAATTATAATTCGACAAGGGGTACATGATTGAACATGCTTAAACAGATTGTCAAATGGATTGCGCTAGTAGTCTGACTATGTTTGATTCTACTTTCAATGGGATCGCATCAAAGTCTTTATACCCTGAGGAAACCCGAAAGGGAAAGTCATGGAATTACGCGGTGAATGGGCAATGTGTTGGACCTCGAAATGAAGTTGCTAATGTGCATCTAATGTGCTATAGCCATGTATAGTCATCTTTGGTATACGGCATACGGCAAATAAAGATTCCAAATGTGTAAATCTGAGAGAAACTGAAATGGATGGATCCCAACTATGCCCGCATAGTCATATATAATAAATGGCAGATACGGTACAACAAACCAAACGTGTGTTCCGTGTTTGTTTCGACGATGTTGGCTGTCTTTTCCAGCTCGCAGGATTGGGACTTGCAGCCCGCGGTAGACAAGGCGTCCAAGCGTTTTGAGGCGGGAAGTAGAGTCACTGAGTCACTGTGGCAGAACTTGGGTTTGAGGTGATTTCAGCGATTTTTTCCAATATGAAATCCATCAGAAATGGGGAATCTGTAGGGAATGTAACTGTTTTTTTTTCCGGATGGACCTCTTGAATCATAGCAAATCCAAGAGAATGCGGGATTCACAGTAGGCCCTCTATCATTGGCATTTAATATGTACTAATATACACATATTAATCATATGCATATACATATATATATATATATATATTATGATCAATGGATTGGTTTAACGGAAAATTTACAGGAAAGCCCCTAATATTTAATGGGAAAATCACTCTGGTTTCCGGTTAAGATTTTCCCTTAAACCAATCCATTGATAGGATCGTCCCAAAGTGGGGACATGTAAAAATCTCCATCTCCCAGAAATCCCCAAGTTACAGTAGTATTCAACCATCACCATTACTATTATATACTATTATACTATGATTTTCTATGATTTTCTATGATATTCTATGATTTTCTATGATTTTGTTGTGATCCCCATATCCTAGTATAATATTATACCATATATATGGATATATATATATATGAATCATATCTCCAAACATCAATGGTTGACGTTGCCAAATCAGAAGCTATCATCCCAATTGTTCAACAGCCCTGTTGGTTTTCATGATTGGTTCGGGGGTTATACTATCGACAGGTTGAGTCAATCCATGAATATCCGCGTGTTGAAATGATATGACTGAAATATATCGCACAAAAAATCCCTTTAGCAAATCCCCATTGTCTCCCCAGTATTGCCAGTCCCCAGTTATTAGTTGGCTTCGAAAGCCTATGAACTATAGTTACTATAGTTCTAACATCTTCGAACCAAAAACCCCGGTGAAATTGGAGAGATTTGCTTCAACTCGGGCCGTAAACGGGGGTCCCCAGCATTGCTGGAGCATCCTGGAGCCAGGTAATGCTGGAAGTTTTAGAGCATGCGTGAGGCGGAGTCATCGAGAGACTGCTGCCGAAGTGGCGGAGTGGACTTCGTATCGGTGGGTTTCGCAAAAACACCTGATGCTATAAGAGGAATTATAGATAATTTATAATTATTTACAGTTTAGAAGCAATAATTATCATAGATATATAGGTTTTGTTTGAGCAATGCTTTGAACAGATGGTTGAAAAACTTGTATTTGCCGTTTAACTGGCCATAAAATCGGGCAACAACAATTATCCCAGGGTTTTTGACGGATGGATAAATTATTGGTCATGGAGAGACATGTCATAGACATTTCCAGCATTTAAGCATTCAAACTGAAGTACCCAACTTTGACCCATATCATTCCATACTGTTGCCTATTTCAGCGAAATGTGATTGTAATCATGCCAATGAATGCCAATGATATGCATCTCCAGGTTCAACATCCGATAAGACAATCGACCGATTCACTGTATCCTTAGGCGTTTTTCTCGATTCGTTGCGATCACTCCACCGCGGCAGAAACAGCACTTCAGATGGTTTTCCAGAGTGAGGAGGGATCGCGATTGAAATCCGGGTTAATTCCGGGAGCAGAGCTGTGTAGAGCCACCAGAGAAATGGAACATGAAACATTTTGCAAGCACTTTGTTGTCTTTGAATAGAAGGCCAGAAGGTTACAGAGATGCTAGTTTGTGACATGGATGCAAATTCTTCCAAGTGAAGATGAGTTGTGCTGCACATATTTGAGCAGGCTTGTGCCATTGTACAGATCCCTTGTCGCATGCCTGAGAACTCCTGGCAGCCTGCTGAGGTGTCTAGTACTTGATGCAAGACATATCCATCGATCAGAGAACTAGTCACAACAGGGTCCCCATGTCCAGAATGGCACTGTTTCCCCTAGACCAACTGGATTTTTTAGGGTGCCTAGATCCCCATATATCCTCATGATATGGATCATATACCATCATATATATATATATACCACAGTTGAATAATGTTGTATAATAAGTGGTCAAAGTTTCACGACACGTCGACCCTAAAAGAGTTTCTGAATAGCAATTTCGAGCCATAAACCATCATAAACCATTCAATTTTGCAGTAGCCAAGTGTGATCAATACCCAAGTTGTGGACAGTAAAAAAAAATAAAAAAACGCCTGAAACATAAGATAAGATCCAGGGATTACCCTCTGGTAATTTAACATAGCTATTGAAAATTGCCATTTATAGTGGATTTACCCATAAAAAATGGTGATTTTCCATAGCTATGTTAGTTTACCAGAGGGTACCACAAAAAAAGGAACCACACACTTAGAGGTCCAGATCACCAGTTCACCTGGTCCACAGGGATCGCAGGTTGTCAGCCGGCGCCTCTGGCGACCCTCTCACGGTCTGGCCTCCAAAGTGAGATCATCAGTGTCTAGCGATACGTCAAGGAGACACTTGCGTGGGATTGCTCTAGTTACCATAGTTTTTTTTCAAATCAGGATATGTCAGGATATATTATATTATACTATGATAATATTAGAATATGTTCATATCACATTTCTGTCCGTTTTAGTCTGGAATAAAAAAGCACATAAAAGCACTTTGGCCACCTTGTTTTGGTTGGCAGTTGGAGTACGGTGTTGCCAAACTGTTGCCTTTTGGCAGGATAGGTTGGACGTGTTTCAATGTTTTTCATCACCCGCAGGTGGAATTCAAAGCGGCTAGAAGAGCCGGGTCACGACCCCTACCGAAGACCAGCTGTGGCAACAGAAAAGTGGCTGTGGCAATGGGAAAGCCTGCGCACCTAACCCCAAAACAGCCAACATAGATGGGATTTATGGATGATGGATGTGCATCCCCCCATTTATGGATCAGGTATTGATCCATAGCCATATCATACTGTATCCTTTTCGACTTTCTTCGAGGTAGGGATCACCCTGGGGTCTGTCAAAGGAAGCTGACTGTGGTTACATGGAGCTGTAGTATATTTGGAAGCAATGCATGGGAGAATAGCAACCCATGAATAGGCAATTCTGCTCTCAAGAAAGTAGTAAAACCAATCAATCTACAAGGTCGACAAGTGAGGTTACTCGAAACAGAGATATTTTTTGGGTTCCAATTCTATGTCCGACTATGGCAGTCTTCATATGTTTTCATCATTCATATTTTTGTTGGGTAATGCCTTCACCGGTCGATCAAAAATCCATTCTTGGATCATTTTGTTTGACTGGAACACTACAATATATTTACCCTCTGGTAAACTAACATAGCTATTGAAAATGGCCATTAATAGTGGATTTTCCCATTTAAAATGGTGATTTTCCATACCTACGTTAAATTACCAGAGGGTACATATCTTCAAGTCCCCATATCGGGCGGTCCTAAAATTGGTGACCCCGAAAATCTCCAATTGGGAGAGACCCCAGAGTTGCTCTTTGAGGGGGTTGGAAATAGGATCCCCATGCTGCTCCTTAATTTGATGGTTGATCGTCATTTTCCCTACTAAAGTGCTAAATAGTATTGTTATATATTGTTCTGTATTGTTTATAGTGTATCTCAGTAACTATCCCCTTGATATTCCCATGACTTTGTTGGTTTAATATGGTCTAATCCCCTGATATTATAAATGAGGATTAAACCATATTAAACCATGATATTCCCCTGAACTCCCATTTATTCGGATACTTACAAAACATCCAGTATTATATCCTGTTTATCCCATGATATTCTCCTGAAATCCCCATGGAAATTGCCACTTCGGCCACCCAGGCGGCGAATCATGCCGTTAACGCAGAGGAGCTGCTTCCATTGGCGCAGGCGGCAGCTTCTTAAGCAACTGGAGCAGTGTTCAAAGCCCCTGTTGCTTGATAGTAACCATCCAAGTATGGGGATCTAATGGGATATATCTGAGAAACGATGGTTGGTTCATGATTAGTTGGTGGATTAAATCCTACATGATACATTGTCAAATCAATATATTGGGAAAACATGGGAAATTCCCACTAAATACATGATACTAAGGAATCTGTATATCAACCAACCAGTATAAAGGCTCAAATAGCATCAAGGATCAAAGCCCCGGTACCTTGGTGAAACGATTTTCCGGATATGAAACAACACCTTATTGGATCCCAACCATAACCAATTTTCATTTGGGACATGGTATGTAAAAGTAACCAGTTAATACCCAGTTATGTATAGTATCTTATATAATATATATATATATACATGATATGCTTGCTGATTTTGTGACATGAACCAGTAAAAACTTTGGTATTTAATACTGGAACCCAGATAAATATGGGTGGCATGTAAAAATAACTTCTATGTTCATGATACTTGTCAGATATTTTGATATATATATATATATATATGAGCCACCGCAAAAAACCCGGCAATACTAAATATGTATTGGACGGACATTGGTTTATGGAAATTGATGGAAATTGTTCAAAACACACGGTAAGCGATGGGACCTTCCCAAATTAGCGATACCCCTTTTCAAGGTTATGTCATTGTATTTCTCTTATATCCACATTAGCGATACCCAAATTGGACGTTGATTTCTGTGAATCGTATATAAAAATGTAGCAGTTTCCTGCAAGCGATACCCCCCAAGTTTACCATATATCATTATTGTACAAACGTGTGGTAAGCGATGGGACCTTCCCAAATTTGTGGATGTCCTTTCCGTGAAACTAGGGTTTTCGAGATTGCTCATATATATATATATATACATATATATAATTATATATATGTGGTTTGTTCTTATTGATTAAAACATAATACATCATAAATCAAGTGTATCTATATCAGATGCTTTAATATCATCATTATATCATTGAGATATACTGTAATATATTAATTAATTCTATTAAGTCAGTTCATATCATAGTGTATTTTTATTATATCGCATTATATATATATATATATCATTATTATTATGAAGTAGATAGACTATGGGACATTGAAAGATGGTCCCATTTTACTGTTTTTTTTTTTACAACAATACTACTATATTCTTTGTACTCCAGGATGACTATAGTAAGACACTCCCACAGAATATGCTATTCTGTATTAAGCCACATCATAGCAAATGAGACCGGGCTAATCTGTATTACAGTATATCAAATATGAGGTGTATATCATATATCATCACATATCAGATGGTATTCTAATCAGTAAAAACAAAACACGAAACACACACAAAACACAAAAACACTATACTTGCCCATATCAATACATCATTTCCAATGATTTGTTCCATCCCTTTCAACCAGCCTTCCTATCTCAAGGCCAAGCTCAACAGCTGGGAGAAGTTGGCCTTCTTGGACGCTGCAAAACGACGAGAGGCGACAGATTTTCTGTGGCAATGTTTAAAACCCAAGGGGATGGTGGAAATTCTAGGAAAGCTATGGACAATGTATGGAAATCTATGGAAATATGGGAGTTGTTTTTTGGATTATATGGGATTATGGTGATATTGTCACGAACAAAATCTGGAAGTACAGTATCAGTATATGATGAATCTGATGAATCTCATAGGGATATTTGGTAACAAGTCACGTCTGGAGATGTCGGGGATTTCACCAAACATGGAAACCAACATGTTTTTTCCCGCTGCTGGAATAGTTTTTTCAGGGATGTCTTCACAAGTTTCAATGACAAGATATGATAAGTAAGATCCGATCCGGAATCCCCTGATGTTTGCCCGAAACATCATTTCTTCCAGCTAGGAAACACGATTAAACTGGATGTGGATTGGGTTTTTTGTGTTTCTTGTCACATTTTTTTCCGGCATGTTCTGCTTGGGAAATGGATCCACCGTGATCCACTAAGACATGGTTGAACTGGTTGAAGGGAGCATTTTGAATCCACCAAGAATCTGTGGATGGGCCAGGCTACTTCCCAGCTGAAGGAGATTGTGTTGGAATGGGCCAAAGGCCTTGGGCAAGGGGGTAATCCGGTTGAGTAATTATGGGTTAGTAGTGGCTGAAAAATATGGATAATGATGGATGACAATGGATGATATTGGATGATGTTGGATGATATTGGATGATATTGGATGATAGTGGATGATAATGGAAAATTAATGACATACAATGACTCTCTGGTAATTTAAGAGTTTGTAAATTGGAAATTCACAATGTTTACCTTCCGGTCATCAAACATGGCAATGGAAAATCATCTGTAATGGAAGTTTGAATGGGAAAATCATATACCCTCTGGTAATTTAACATAGCTATTGAAAATGGCCATTTATAGTGGATTTTCCCATTAAAAATTGTGATTTTCCATAGCTACGTTAAATTACCAGAGGGTATAAATGGTGGATTGTGAATTGCCACGTTTGATATCCGGAGGGTAATAGGTACCCTCTGGTAAACTAACATAACTATTGAAAATCACCATTTTCAATGGGTAAATCCACTATAAATGGCCATTTTCAATAGCTACGTTAAATTACCAGAGGGTAAATCACGGTAAATCCTTGAACTGAACGTGCCATGTTCCATAGCTATGTTAGATTGCCAGAGGGTAAATGGTAAGATGATAGGATTCGCATGCGCGAGTTCAACGGAGAGCAGATGTGACAGCCATGGACGCAGAGCGAAATACCCACAGAAGTGGATCAACTCTGTCTAAATACCCTAGGTTTTTGAGCAGCACCCATATCCAAATCTGGCCCATACCCAACATATGACCAGTGGAGTTTTCATCTCTAAATTGATAGTTATGATGGTATGATTTACCAATTTAACATAATTTCACTAAGATATGGGAATGGCCCAAACCCACCATTCGAAGAGTTGTTGGTTCATGTCCCCATATCTATGGATCAATGTTTAGTAACATGATATTCCTGTCATTGTGGTAAACCCCCAAAAAAACGACATATTTTGACTTTTTTGGTTCAACATAGACCTTGGTTTGTTCATGCCAGGGTCCCATTTGAATGGGGGCTGCTATAAGAAAAAGAGGGCAGGGTTTTTTGGCCGTAGACCCCCCGTGATCTGATAGGTGTTTATGACTTGAAATCCCCATTGAAATGCACATGTTGTTAGTTAAATCTACAGATTTATTATCTTTACTGGTCATGATAAGTGCCACCTGAAAATCCGAGAAGTCCGTGCCCACAATTGGGTAGAGTCCACAACTTCAGTCCCTGCTGGATATGACTATCCTGGAGTAGATACTTTATATACTTTTTTTGGACATGTCAAAAAATCCTCAGTATTGAATATGACTCCAAGATGATGATACCTCTAAGCGATTCCTTCAATTTGCCAGGTGAGGACCGCATGGTAGTCATCGCACCTCGGAGATGGTCCAAAGGTTGTCATGTATGGTGAAGCCAAGAAAAGATAGAAACCTGATTTACTGTTGTCATGTGAAGCCAACAAAACATAGAATTTTATGGTAAGCCAATGTGGATGTGGGATTTTCTGTTCTAGGTTCTTTTTTTTTTGGGGGGTGCTATATATTAGAATGAGTCCATGACATTCTTGTTGTGTGTAGATGTGGATCGATGTCCGTTGAAGAATGGTAGTCCATGATGATGGAAGTACAACAAAAATGCGGATGGATGGGATTAGTGAAAATCCTCATACGGTGAAGATTGCATATTATACATATACATATATATATATATACATATATATATATATTGATACCCTGCTCATACACACAATAACAAGGCCCTTGGCCAAGCAGCCACAAGCTGCATAGTTTTACTCAACCGAGGCGGCAGTTACCGCCCTGACAGAACTGGGAGGAGGGTGGGGGAGCTAAGTTCAGAAAGGGGTTGTGCCATGCGTGTGTGCAAAAATTGGGTGCCATGTTGATGTGCAATCAAATGGCTTTTTTAGGTATACCATCAAGATCCATGGGTTTGCCTTGCAAACGGCCATCAAAAGAATGGTTGGTGGTTTCAAACATGACTTTTATTGTCCATTTCATATATGGGATATATTAAATCCTTCCCATTGACGAAGTCCATCATGTTTCAAGATGGTTAAAACATGTTAAAACCACACACCAGATGGAGATTTTGCATGATAAACCATGGGATTTTGATGGAAACATGGGCTACTACCCATATGGGATTTTGGCCAACTCCAATGGATCGACGTGGCATCGTGGCAACTTTTAGACACAAAGCTAAACAGACTTGGCTTTCACCTTTAATATGTTCATAGCAAAAGACATCTTTGAAAGGAATGACAAGCTGTTTTTTTTTGCACTTTCAAACTTTAAAAAATACCAAAGTGTCCAATGATTTAAAGCTCAACACACACCTTTTTGCCCGTGCGCATCACCATGGCAGCTTCGCTGCTAGGTCCAAAGAGTTTCAGCAGCTTTGGCCTGGGTTGAAAAAGGTGAAACTCGGAAGAGATGGGGCCGGGCCGGTGGTCAAATGTGCTTTGTTGATGGTATCAGTTCGTCATTTGATGGTGGGCTTTATCCATCAAAATGTGGGGATATTATGATATTATGATAGTTGGTTGATGATGATAAAGGGTTTTCAGTTTTCACTCTTCAATGGTTTTAATCATGAAAATATGGGAATATACCTTTATACAAGTGATAAATGATGGTTGGTTGATGCTTAGTGAGGTTGGATTTTTCTAACCAATACCTGGGGGAATATCACAATCTTTGATTCCGGTGAATCCGGTTCTCAACCAACCAGCACAATGGTCGTTTAATGGAATATCAATAGTTGTTTTTTTCTGTAATGGATAATCGGATATAATGGGATATAATGGGATATGCTGTATATTAGCATCTTAACCATTCTTAACCAACTATCGGATGAAATTGGATAGCATTAACATCCATTAATTCATATGTGGGATGATCATTAATCCATGAAATGGGAAGTGACAATGGCCAAAAAAAAAGCGGTCGCAATGCTGGGGGACCATAATGACCATCCATCAACGCTACAGTATTTTAGAGAGAACAGATAGGGGCACCTGGCTTTTGAGTTTCATAGCCTTATTTTTCCAACAATAAAATAGTGGGAATGTAATGACATATAGATATGTAATATTATGCAATGATATGTACATAGTATAGCCCATATTATGTTGGATCCATTTTGGGGAGTCAACCCCAAAACATGTCGACAAAGAAATGGGTACACATCGTAATTTCAACAATAAACAAACACATCTACATACCACTAGTAGATGTAATTTACATGTCTAATAATATGAATGTTGTTTAGATTAAAGTTATATTGGATACGTATTCCCCCAGTAATTGTTGTTGCCTCACAACCCCCATTAACTCTAGTTATAACCACTATTCAGCCCCAGCTTGACCATCAGGAAAGGTGCCCTAGCTCCGGCCGCACGGCTCTTGCACGACGCCTCCTGCGAGGTGTGACTGGTCGATGTGGAAGTCAGAGGGGTTTTTCATAGGAAAATCAACTATACCCTCTGGTAAATAAACATAGACCCTGAAAATAGCATTTTTTTAATGGAAACTAGTCTTCCAACCCCTATTTGCCAGGGTCTATGTTAATTTACCAGAGGGTACCCTCTGGTAAACATACAAACAACTATGGAAAATCACCATATCTAATAGGTAAATTAACCATAAATGGACCATTTTTCAATAGCTATGTTAAATTACCAGAGGATAAATGGACGTTTCTAACTGGATAATACATGATACTACCCTAGACTCAAGTGGTGGTCAAGTGATGTCAAGTCAATGGGTAGCAAGAACATCGATGTTTCTGTTGGGGGGTGTCTTCAATGCTTATTTCCAAGCTAGAAGTTTGAGTTTGACACTTTGCCCAACTTAGAGATGGGTCCAAAATTGCGGTCAACAATTAGACATCGTACTGATACTCTTGCAATATTATACGTACAAACACGGTAAAGACATGACCCGAGCCTCAATATCCTCAACTTCCTCAAGCTTTTGACGTCATCCAAAGGTCCTTGAAGAAGTTCTGTCCTCTTCCAGCCTTTGTAGCAGCCTGGCCACTCAGCAGCTGCCTCCTTCGCAGCTCGCGTTGCTGGCGGTGCGTGCCGCGGGCCGCGATGCGCGGCACTTGGCCGAGGACCATCCGGCCTTGCAGCTCTGTGCTGCTGAGATGCCGGAGGAGAAGAAGCAGAGAGTGGCTGAAGTTGGTGAATGCTCGGTGCATTTTTTGCAGGATTTTTCTTGATCAAAGGTCAACTGCTTTGCGCTAACTGTATTTGAGGATGTGTTGTTTTTCCCCACCTGCCAGGTGAGGGTTGTTAGATTTTATGTCAGTTGCCTGGTCCTCCTCGTCCTCCTCCTCCTCCTCGTCCTCCTCCTCCTCCTCCTCCTCTCGTTGTCCTCCTCGTCCTCCTGCTCAACTGCGACTCGCGATCCACAGTGTTCTCTGTCGGACCTCCACCACGACCATCCACGCCCAGTGTTCCCTGCCGGACCTCAACCACGACCATCCACGCCCAGTGTTCCCTGCCGGACCTCAACCACGACCATCCACGCCCAGTGTTCCCTGCCGGACCTCGACCACCACGACCATCGCACGCCCAGTGTTCCCTGCCGGACCTCAACCACGACCATCCACGCCCAGTGTTCCCTGCCGGACCTCAACCGCGAGTATCCACGCCAAAAGATATGCCACATAGAGTGCCAGAAGATATGCCAGATAGAATGTTAGAAGATATGCCAGATAGAATGCCAGAAGGTATGCCAGATAGAATGTCAGCTTATAGAATGCCAGAAGATATGCCAGATAAAGTGCCAGAATGTTTGCCAGATAGAATGCCAGCAGATTTGCCAGATAATATGCCAGAAGATATGCTAGATAGAATGCCAGATGGAATGCCAAAAGATTTGCCAGATAATATGCCAGAAGATATGCCAGATAGAATGCCAGATGGAATGCCAGAAGATATGCCAGAACATATGCCATATGCCAGAAGATATGCCAGAACATCTGCCAGAAGATATGCCAGAACATCTGCCAGAAGATATGCCAGGTAGAATGCCAGAAGATATGCCAGATAGAATGCCAGAAAATATGTCAGATAGAATGCCAGAAGATTTGCCAGTAACAAAATGCATAAATGTCATGGTGGGGATCACACGAAGTAAAGTAATTTCAAAAATGCATGAACATGCATTAAAATTTCACCAGTTTCGGGTTGACATTGAGTCTGCATGGGATTGTATCAGCAAATCTTGATCTTTAGTCGCCATCTTTTGCTGACTAAGGTGGTAGAGCAGCTGCTGAAAATGCATGGATCCCTTCCCGTGGAAGGCTCACCTCATGGTGAAGCACATGGTCAGCACCTGCGCTTCTGGCTGTGTCTGGGAAGTTTGATGTCTGCTGATGATGTGAGCGCGGCAGCAACGGTGGCCGTGGAGGCCCTACGTGCTGGTTCGTTACTGCCTGCCACACGCGTTTTGGTGCAGAATGTCTGGGCGAAAGCTGCTATGGAATCGGAAGAGCAGATACTTGGTATATTTTCTAAGATCTTTTGTTAGTCTGTTTGAATGCAAGTTTTCGCTGACCATCTTACCTTAGATATCCGATGACGATTTCGATACACTGTATATGTTCACACGGTGAGCTGAAACCCAGGATCTCCATCCTGTCCCAGCTCTTACAGAATGTGGAACTCGCTGAAGCCTTTGCCACGAATTGCCTGGCTGTGGCGGCACAGATCCTATTGCACCCAGCCATGGGGAAACCCATCCGCGAGGTCCGTGAGGTCGACACCCTGGGGCTCCAAAAAATCCGCGGGGCCAAGGCGGCCAAGGTGGATCTATTGTCAGCCATGGTGGCCTGGAGCGCCTCGTATGTCCACGGCCCGCGGCTTCTGGCGTCCTTGGCCTTATTTCATGTGCTGGAGGAGAACTTGCTGGAGACACCCGGCTGGTATTTGGAAGCCTTGCATCGTCAGGTGCCAACGGTGATGGCAACCGACCAAAACTGGGGTGGACCAAACTCTCATGGTGAGAAGAGAAACAGAATATAGCCGACAAGGGCCAATGGGTTTTGTCATTCACAATCATACTTAGGATATCAGGATATCTCAAAATCCGGAGTTTTGATGGCCTGGTGCTACAAGATGTAAATGCGATACCCAAGCATTAGATCATTAGACGAGCCAGTGTATTGCTGGATGCTACACGTGTTCTTGGGATAATTTGCATTTGGGATGCCAACGACGAAATGGATTTGTTTGAAAATAGGATACCCCCAAAATCCCATGGTTTATCCTCATTTTCCCCATCAAGATAGCCATATTTGGTGCTCATTTTCCCCATCAAAATAGCAATATGCGGTGTGGTAATTCCACATTTTCAGACATGCCACGTTATTCTTTCGCAGGTGCGAGATGCCTCAGTGTTCAAGAAGCTTCGAGCGAGGGTGAAGATGGAAGAAGCTGGGTTGCGTGCCCTAGTAAGTGGTTAACCCACATTTATGATCATATATGTATTTCTGGTGCTTCCTGGGGTATATCTGACATATAACATCATAATAGCTGGTTAAAATTAGATTTTGTTATATCTTGTTACTAGCCATTTAGCATGTATTTGAGCATCACTTGGTCAAGCCCACTGCCGAAATGGATAGGTTTTTCAATCGCATTCCCTTAGTAAGTTCCCTCTGTCGGCTTGGATCCCTATCCGGTGGCAGACCAGCTGTGAGCTGAGGAGTGGATCAGCAGCTGTTGGTCCATGGTCAAACCCTCACGGCCCTTGGATGTTCTTTTGGCCAACGCATCCAAGCAGGTACCCCGGGTGGACAGCTATGGACAGCTTCAAATCTGCAGACCTTTGAGATTCTGTGATCATTCATACTGGTATCAATTGGTATCATGGGATATCACAAACCACCTGGTTTTTCCCCATACTTTCAAGATCGCAAGTCTTGCTGCTTGGCGGTTGCAAAGATTGGAGGCTCCGTTCAAAGTTGTGGAAGTGAAACCCTCTGATATTGCTTTTGACATCAGATATCCTTTGATGTCTTTATTAAATTAACGACGAGAGAATTATTTACATTGTTTTTCTTCTGTATCTTTAATATAGACCGCTTGATTCCTTGTGACAGATGCGATTGTATTTTGTGGTCGGCGGAGTTGTGTTTCTGCCTTGCCTGGTTCTTTGCAAACTTGGGATTAAACCAAAGGAAGTGATCAGCAGTTGGCAGTTCAATCTGTGATTCGTATCATTTCCATTCATTTCCCGAATAAAATGCCAAAGATAATTAGGACATTCCCCGTGTTGAGAGATACCCATATCATCCCATATCATATTGATGGTTTGTTGATTATGTAAGAAGTTACATGTGTATGATTGTACATCTATATGTTGTATTATATTCCGATCATATCCCAAGGACGCATGGATTAACTCCCACTACATCACATTTGTCCTTCAGCGTGACTAGTCCAATCTCGCTTCTGGTGGCAGTGCCACCAGCTGCCTCGCAGGTGGCTGGAGAGTTTTGGTCGCCGCAAGAGTGGCTTTGGTTGAGACAAGATAGAAATGGTGATTACGGGAGACCAATCATATCAATGGTACTTATACTATTCTTGGAGGATATTTGCTGGCACAACGAACTTGATCGTATAGTTGGGTGTGTGTGTGAGAATAGTAAACAAACAAGTTGATAAGCGATAAGATATTTGGGTGTGTCAGTGTGTCTGAGAATGATGAAACTCAGGATTTGATTCCCAAATGAAGACAGTTAAGAAGTGATTCCAATTGGCTGGGTGGTCCTATTGATGATTGTCGATGGATTGGTGTAAAAAAAAAAACATGGACAACCTGCAGGGAACAGGGAACACATGTAACACACGTGTTTTTTTCCCATGAAATATGATGGTTTCCTGTAAAAACTCCCTGAAACCATGGTATTTTTCAATCCATGGATCCCATATTTTTTGGTAAAGCTTGGCGGGATAGCTGCAAGGCTGGAGCATGAACCTGAGGATCCTAGCAGTCCTAGCAGCAAAGGTGCGGAGAAGGGAAACTTTTTGGAGAAACCATGGAGAAACCATGATATTTCATTGGAGATGTCATCAAAAACCCATTAATAATTGGTATAGTTCTTTACCAACAGCGCTATATATATATATATATAGCCATGATAATTAGAGATGTTATCGCCAAAAATTGGATTTTCATGGGATTCCAATGGAATCATCATGGGGATGAACCATTGTTGCGGTGGTTTTTAAGGATGTTTTTCATGATAAAAACAACAGTTCAGTTGGGAAAAGGGGGCCCCCTACAATGATGCCCTGATGCTGACATAGAATCACTCAGTTCACTGTAATTACATCCCCAAGTTCAGTTGTCATATTTCCTTGGTTTGTACCATTCGTAGCTGAGATGATTTTCCCCCAACTGAGAAGAAGAAGAATTGCCAAGCTGACTGCTCGCGCAGGCTTGGGCCTCAGATCCTGTAGATTCCACCAACTCATTCAAACCATCCAAATGATGCTGGGTTTGTCGGGTTGGTCCATTAAAAACATCAACAATTCTGAAAAAGGAAGCACCAGAAACGGGAGATCGTCCCTTTCCCTTGCAGCGTTTGTTACATATGGAACCCCAGAGTTGGTCCGAAAAACAGTCCGCACCAATCAGTGGGTGATAGTGTTATAGTCTAGAGTCTAGTGGTTAAGTGGTGTACCCAGTTTTCACCTCTAGCCCATTTGGTACCCCAATGCCATTGGATGATCATCTTTCGCATCAAAGCGGTAATTTTGGAGTATACCTATTGCCGGCAAACCCACATATCATATTGTTGAAGGTTCTATTCCCATTATTTCCCCATTATTCCCCCAGATGTTTTTCTGGTTTTATACCTCAACTTTTTGCCAGGTATATCGTAAATCCTTGTGTTTGCTGGTTGTTATTTACAATTCCTATGGTTCATTGTTAAATTCCCTTCATCGTTAGTATGTTTAAGTATGTTTGAGTGTTAATTCCCTTTTTTGGTACCAATACATTTGCTGGTTGCCAACATATCTTCGCTGGTTGCTATCAAGTGGCACTGTTCACCGGCACTGTTCGTCGCTGGTCATGGCCAGGGGCCTTGCAACGGAGACCCGAACGGCAGCAGCAAGGCCAGCTGAGCCCTGTTGGCTTGGGATTCGTAGCATAAGTGTTTGGTCGTGTTGTTTAAAAACACACATATATATACGTATATATATATATAGATATACACATATATTTTACATACTGGTAGATACATATATATATATACATACACATACATTAATACTATTTACTAAGTATAGACATCTTGGACTCAATACTCTGGTACACCACAAAAAAAAACAAACAAACCATGCGCAAGCCGTGGGTGGATCATGGTCGATTCAGGTGCTGAGGAGATTGATGTGGTCGTGTGTGCATCGTTGGTGGACAATGTCCGGAAGCCGGATCTGGGGGATCCACTGGGATCCACGGACTGGGGCGACCTGCTTCATCTTTGGCGAAAATACACCTGTGTGTTTAGGACATATGTGCTACCCTCTGGTTATGTCAAAATAGCTATTGAAAATGACCATTTATAGTGGATGTTCCCTTAAACAATGGTGATTTTCCATAGCTATGTTAATTTACCAGAGGGTAACCTATTAAATCACCTATTATGAACTATTTCATAAATAAATATGATTAACTCTTATCATCATTATTAGCCTTCATGTTATTTGACTGGATTATAGTAACACAGATGATAATACTAAGAATGGTGAATGATGGTGATACCAATCATGGTCAACAACAATGGTTGATAATTGGAAAAGGGAATATACTGTAATGGTTCACAATGGTTAATGAATGGCGATTAAGGGTTATAAATGGTCAAGAATGGTGGTTAATGGAATGACCCTCCGGTACTGGGAAATCCCAGTACCCAATGGAGGTTTCTAGGTGGGAAACATATATCTATAAATGGGGAATCTTCCAGCAGGCCATTTTCGATTACCAGAGGGTATCTTTAGGGTATACTTGAAATGAATAGAACCGGAAGAAATAAAACCCTAGGTTTTTCCAGGTATGTTTGAAGTTAAGCATGCGTCCAGTTGGGATAATTCCTGGAATATTTTGGGATAAGATGGGACAATATGGGATAGTGTGGGATATATCTACAATCATTGGTGGTCACAATCATCACTTGCCATTTGGAGGATTTTGGAGGCAAAGATGGGAAAATGATGAGGGTTTGGCGGGAATCATGATGGGAAATACCCTCTGGTAATTTAACGTAGCTATTGAAAATGACCATTAATAGTGGATTTTCCCATTAAAAATGGTGATTTTCAATAGCTATGTTAAATTACCAGCGGGTAAACCAATGGTTGGTATCAACCAATGTAATGTCCGGAAAATATATGGGTTTGTCTCAAACTGGGGCCCTGGGCCCTCGCTTCGCGGCCATGACAAAAAAGATACCCTCTGGTGAACTAACATAGCAATGGAAAATGGCTATTTATAGTGGATTTTCCCATTAAGAATGGTGATTTTCCATTGCTATGTTAGTTCACCAGAGGGTAATGAAATAAAGCAATGTTTTTTTTTTAATGGGGGTCCAAATTGTGAGGTGACTCAACAACAGGATTAATCAACATAATGAATGATGATTACCCGCTGGTAAACATACAAAAAACTATGGAAATCACCATGTTAATAGGAAAATCAACTATACATGGCAATTTTCAATAGCTATGTTAAATTACCAGAGGGTAGCAATGGCAACCACCCCACCACCATGTGTAGTGACACTTCTGCTGCGATACAGTCCATTTCAGCATCCTTCTTTGAGGAGGTCAATGTTAGCAAACCATGTCACTGATTACCGGGAGGAGAATTCCATTTCCGTTCATCACTTCAATGTTTTCCATGATGAAGGACTACTGACCATGAAAAAATGCCATTTGTACCCATTTATAACCCATGGTTTTGCTCCATATTCACTGTTGACCCTTGATATCTTTTGAAAAACCACGGTGCTGCGCGGTACCTCTGCGCTTCGCTGCGCCGTGGCCTGCTGTCAGAGGTGCCCAACATGGCCGGACTTGTTCGGACGTCAGAAGCATTGCTTGGCGGCCCGCAAACCCAGGGGGTGGAGCCAGGATCGCTATTGGTGTCAGTTTGTATGCTCATATGGATCATGGAGTTACTTAACTGGTTCGTAAGGGGTTTGTAGAATATTATTTTACAATATTTTATATACATTTATAGACAATTATATACATTTATATACATTTATATACATTTATATACCTATAGTTCCAGGGGGGTACTAAGAGATTCACCAACTCTGTGGTCCATCCAAGTAGATGCCAGTGTCTTGCATGGCTGATTCCCCAGGTCGAGTGGAAGTTGCTTTGCGCAATGACAAGGCATTGGGATTTCGACGACTGTATCGATCCCTGATTTCCAGTTGGATGCTTGCAAGTTGATTCAATGTCCCTTTCAGTATGTTCGTTGTGTTTCATGTCATGAAACACTCCTGCCACCCTCTGGTATTCCAACCTTGCACCCAAAAATCCACCATCTAAAGAGGTGATGTTGCTGATGAAACATGAGAAATTCAAAGGAATATGAACCCTTGCCCGGTTTGGTCGCCATAGTGGGTAGACGATCACAGGTTTTGCAGGAAGCAAGCTTCCAGAAGATGGTGGTAGCAGCTGCCACTGGGCCGCGCAGAGCATGAGAGATCTGTACAAAACGGGGCCATGGTGGTTGGCCAAGTGAATTAAACTATATATATATTATCAAAAAATTGAAATTGTGGTGGTAATACAGAAATGATTCTTTGTATGCACATTAAAACATGGCTTTGAGGGTTGCTTGGTGTTTTCTTCCTTGAAATTTATCGAACACGTCATTTGCTGGGGCCATGCCAGGACAAGAGCGTGCGTTGCCCTCTCAGTCCGAGCAGAGACTGTCACATAGTCCGTAGTCAGGTTGGATTAATTAACCTGTGCCGGTGACTATGATAGATTCTGACTTCCATCAACTTAGCCATAAAAATTACATTGATCATCATTTACTGTATGATCGAATTCCAGGTTTTCTTCATGTATTTATACTTTTTTGGATGGTTCTTCCCCAAAAATCCATCAACATCCAGCAAAAATCCATTCAACAATCCATCAAAATCCCCCAAAATCCATCAAAATCCATCCAAATCCAAAAAACAACGAAAACATCCATCAAAAACCTCGAGGTTGCTCACCATTTTCTCACCATCTCCTGATGGCGAGGCATGTCTTCCGTGCCCTGCGGGCCACGCCTGGTGGCCTTCCTGCGAGAGCATCGATCTGCAGGACGGCAGGCCGGGGACGTGAGGGACTTGTTGTTTGAATGGTTTTACAACGGTTATATAATGATGGCTAATCATGACTAATTCATGGTGATTAGTGGTTAATAATGGTTAATGATATTTAATGATTATTGATTTATGATGGTTAGTGATGGTTAATACTAGTTAGTGAGGGTTAATAATGGTTAATCATGATATTTAATGGTTATGAATGGTGATGAATGGTTAATAATGGGTAATGATTGTTAATTAATGATGGTAAATGATGGTTAATACCAGTTAATGAGGGTTAATACTGGTTCATCATGATATTTAATGATGATGAATGTTGATTGTATAGTGGTTAACAATAATGGTTAATGATATTTAATGGTTTTTAATTAATGGTGGTTAATGATGATTAATACTAGTTAATGAGGGTTAATAATGGTTAATCATTATAAACAATGGTTAAATAATTGTTAATCATGATAATTAATGGTTAATTATTAATAGTGGTTAATAACGGTGATTAATGGTGACTAGTGGTTATTTATGGTTTGAGTACCAAGTTTCAGCCACGCCTAGTCGGTTCGGATCCATTTGGTGGGGTCCTAAAATGGGGGACACCTCGTAGCCACGGGCTTCCCGATTGGATGATAACTTGAAGTCCCCAATTTGGGAAACCCCTCAATTTGGCAAAATATTTAGGACAGTTGATTCATGGCAAAGGTTTCATCCGCTAAAACTTACCCTTTGGTTATTTAACATAGCCATGGAAGCCATGGCCCATTTATAGATGGTTTACCTATTAAAAATGGTGGATTTTCCATGGCTATGTTAAATAACCAGATGGTATTGATAAAACCTCATTGATTTCAATTTGGAATGATTCTTGAGGGAGGATCGGACAGAGTATTTCTCTGGCATTTGCTGATGACATTTGACGATTGTGAATTGGATCCAATTCGACCAGTTAAGCATGGATGGCTGGGTTTTCCAGATTGTTTGAAATCTAGACTTCATCAACATGACTCTTAGTTAAATGGTTTCTGGAGTCGCACCTTAAGGGATTTTTGTATCTCGGTTCACCAGTCGGTTCCCCACATTTTTTGCCCAGGTCATTGCCTTGGAACAAACGTCCTCATCGGAAATGCTGGAGGCCATGGTGAAAAGAACAGGAAGAGCAACATCCCACGAGTTCCTAGGAGTTCCCTGAAATGGAGTGTTTTTGGGGTCTTGTGAGGTCTGGAATGCACACCTCTCTACAATAATTCCACAATGATATTTATATATGGGGATGCGTCAAAACCCTTGTACCCCTGGTGAACATCAAAATAGCTGGTAAATGGATGTTCATCCCACTAAAAATGTATCTATAGGTATTGACCCATACCCATAATATATATATATATGTCATATTCTTTCTGGTCCCCGGGTTATGGAATGATTGAAATTGAGCCCAATGAGAATGATGATGTATTTCATGGCATTGGTTCACCAGAAATCAGTCAACCATGTCCGTAGGTTGAGGATGTGGTTTAAAAAATGGTCCACCCACAGTCATCGATTTAAATTTGGCACCTCTAGCTGCAGCAACGAACAGGTGAGTTTGCGCTTGCCAAAGAAGTTTGTGCTGCTGCTGGGCAGTGAGCAGGAGAGTCTGGCAATCTCCTGTGGGTGGTTCATTCCTTTCACCGAATATTGAATAGCCCCCCAAGGAAACCTTGGTTTAGTAAGTTTGATATTGGATCATATTGGATCTATTCACTCTGGGACCCTTAGCACATGATTTGAAGATTCGTTCAGTAGGTTGATGGCAGAAAGACACCTTAATGGCACAACTGGAGACTGAGGAAATCATCCTCGATCTTGTCAGACTTGTTGTTGGACCAGCTTCAGTTTGGTGCAGTTGGTTGCCATTAATACAGGTCAAAAAAGTTAAAAACAAACAAACTGATCACAATGTTACTGGCCTATTCTTACTTTCTACAGTTTTTAATTGTGATCATCTCCGATTTTTGGGATACTTATAATACTTATACATCATAGATGAATCATAGATCCATTAAATCCATTATGTATATATATATATATGTATGATATGTTTTTTGTGACAGCCGATATTGCAGGAGGGACTGCCAGCCTGGCTGTTGCAAAGCGGGTTGGTGGATCGATGTATCGCCCCTTGGTCGAGTTTCCACATGGGTCGGCTGAAAAAGCGGAGATCATTATCCTAGGTATCCATTTAATATTGCCATTCAATATGGGTATGGGTCAATACCGATACATTTTTAGTGGGTTATTCACATCCATAAATCCCAGCTATGACTTGGGTGAACAAAAGGTACCAGGCTTTTGACCCATCCCCATATATCTCCATATTATCCATAGAATCATACCCATAGATATCCCCGATCACTTAAGATATATCCATAGATATACCCAATAAATTGCAATATTTACATAATATGTTTTGTACGACTGAATGGGGAAAATACGATGATCAATCATGGGATGGGATGGTTTTTTTTTTTTCGAATTTGGTTTAGACAAATCTACGCAGAAATGAGAGGAATACTGGATGGATGTGGTTGATCTATATCCAATCTTGAAGGCGAGATGAACACTCTGTTGTTGGGGTTAAGCTTGAGCAACTCATGTTGGGCAGAAAGAACACTCATATTCCAAGCACAATCCTTCCTTTGACCTCCCACTGAGGAATTGCCCCTGCAAGGAAAGACTGGCTCATTGAATGTTTGAATCTCAGTGAGACTTGAATGTTCTTCTAGCATCTAGTATCACCATGAGCTCCTTTTGCAAGATGATTCCAAGTTGGGAATTCATGGATGTTTCGTTTTTTTTTGGATAGTTTTAAGTATCTTGAAATACGTTTACATGGGATTCACGATGATTGTTGAGATGTTTGATGATGTTTGATGATGTTGGATGTCTTTTGGTTTCTGGATAGCTTCAAGTTTATGTTTGAATGGCCAGTGGCCGTCAGAGCACCAGGTACATGTGGCCGCAGCAATGCTCTTGCTCCCTGGCTCCCAAGGTTTCACATGTCGCCTATGGAATCCTATCTGTGGTGTATTTCCACCCAAATTCCAGTTGGACTGTATATTTTGGGGGGATATTCCCTGAAATTTAGGCCTTATATAGGCTTTATGGTAGGTACCTCCAATTTAGGTTCCTGAAATGGCCATTGACTGTAGGTCTGAATGAATTCACAAGTTCTTCTTTCCAGCAAAATCACTGTTGATGTTTCAGAAACTTGCCAGAATCCGGGCTTCAGAGGAAATCCCCTTGGTTTTCTATGGAAAAAAACATAACACGGTTTTGGTGTTTCCCGATACAGCATTTTTTCAATGGTTTCTACCCCAACAAAACTATCATGATTTGGGGGATTCTTTGTATGGTTTCTAGTTGTTTTGTTTGAAGCCTCCCAGATATACCCCCAGGTCACCAGCGACATAAACCGCAGGTGGCACTATCGATTGTACCACTGAGGCGGCGCCACGTTGGTCCGTTGGTCAGGATTGAAGGAAAACAGAGATAAAGTTGGAATGTTTGGAAATGATTACCCTCTGGTAAACTAACATAACTATGGGAAATCACCATTTTCAATGGGAAACTCACTATAAATGGCAATTTTCAATAGCTATGTTAAATTACCAGAGAGTACCAAGAATTACTTACTGGTGCTTAGCAGGGAATGAGGGAATGATCCACAATAACTATCAATAATCATCCCAGCAACCCCCATTCCCATCCATTCCCTACTAAGCACCAGTAAGATTAGAAGATATTAGAAGATATGATGAAGATTGATGAAGATTGATGAAGTATATGTATATCAGATTATCAGTGTACCAGTAATATGTTTTAATCATTCAGTTTTGGTGATACCCAAGTCTTGACTGGTATTCATATATCAAGAAACTAGTAACCTTCATGTGGCAGTTTGAAATTGTGGGTTTGTTCCCTCCAAGACGGTGGCTAGTGATGCTAAGTGCATGCCATCTTGCTCGACGAGGGCGCTACAGTTCCTTCCGGTCCCTTGATTTTTTGTGCAGGTCAAGTGGTGATGTTCCATTCCCAAATGAACAAAATATAACAAAATGGTCAAAGGAAAAATTCACAAAATTGCCAAGTTGTTGAAGCAGTCATTCGGGGCATGGCTTTTGCAGTTGTACAACTTTGCCTTTTTCCATTGCACCTCTGGACCATGTCCGGTGGCCCGGTTGGCCCGGTTGTCCCGGTCCGGATGATTGCTGCCATGGCTCGCAACGGAGTCATGGGAAAGGATGGGAAGTTGCCGTGGTCGATTCCGGAGGACTTGGTCTGGGCAAAGGTTGTGGGGTTGTGGCAGGAAAGAGCTTGTCTTTTGCGAAAAGAAATGGCAACTGATAAACTGATACCTCACTTCTTGATATTGGTGGTGGTATTGAATATTAATATGTACCCTCTGGTAAACGTTTGCGTTAAACTATGGCAAATCACCATGTTTAATGGCTAAATCCATTATTTCTATCGCCATTTTCAATAGCTATTTTGACATAACCAGAGGGTATCTATGTGTTGTATGTTCAGCCATGTTCAGCCATACATCTGATCACATTGAGACATACTGGTGAGGAACAACAGATGAGACCCATACAGAGATTGATTTCAGACTCCTTAAATCCTGATTTCTGTTGAATCTCTATGTCTTTTTGATATAAAAGATCAAAAATTTGTTGGTGAAAGGAGTCAACTCCCTTTTTTTGTTGCTGAATTTCCAGGATTTTCCTATGTTTGTTGGTTTTCAAGATCCACAGGACTGGAAGCACTTTGTTGAATCTGTGAAGGGCGGCATTTGCATTTCTGGACGCAGATGCTACGAGGAGCTGGGGCAGGCCATGCCCGGTTCAAGCAACTCGCTCCCTTCTTGATGGGTGCAGGTCCACTAAGTTGCATGGTTTTATAACATGTTACTGTATAACATTTTATAACCAACCATGCCTATAGGGGTAATATGTGTGTATATATACATATATATATATATACATATAATTACATATATATATATATACATATATATATATATGTATACATATATATATATATATATACACGAACTCATGGGGGTTATGACATGTTATGACCATGGTTAGTACGTATGAATATCCCCAACTGCACCTGCAACATTGCTTTTTGTAGAGGCAAAGTGAAGTACGGTCACAGCTTTTTCAATGATACACGACTTATTTCAATAGTGCAGACACCATTGCTTTGCAAGTGAATGTTCGTCCATGTCGTGAGTGGGAGAGCTAAGATTAAGCTAAGTGCAGCTGCTTGGCACAGTGTTTCAATAAGACTTTACCGGAAGACGCTGTCCATCAGAATCATCAGAAGGATTAGAGTATATTTAACATTATTTAACGATTTTGACCACACCCTGGCGCTAGACACCAAACCACCCGTTGATTTTATGGTGTTATTTGAGATCAACGGCCAAGATTGGCCAAGACTTTTTTTCAGCTGCTGTGTCTCCTCCCCTACCCTGGTTTTGGAGAGCTTCCGAGGCATGCATATTGTGCTGTCCAATCAGAAGGACTTGGTCTATCCCGATGCTGTGGTGAAACACTCCTTAACCGATGCGATGCAGGCGGGGCAAAGAATCCTCCAGCGGAAGTTGTGTTTTTAATGTGGGCTGTTGTCCGAAGTGATTTTAGAGCTCACTTCAGCGAACGATCCTTTCGCATCCTTTCGCTATGTTAGATGCTTGCAGGTTGCCAAAGAGAAACGTGATGCCGGGAGCATTTGGATTTTGGGAGGCACAGAGGTGTACCGGGAGTCCTTTCCCATGGCAGATGAGTTTTGGGCCACACATGTTCATGCAGTGGCTTGGCTTACACCTTGAGCCGTTTGAGGATCGAAATGATTGGCTTGTCCAGGTTTTAACATGTTTTAGCCATGTTTAGGACAAGCTACAACAAGCAGTAATCAAGCTATGATTTGAACTCATGTCATTCTCAGCCTTGCATGTGGTGATCTGGTTGGTGGTTTGGAACATGGCTTAACTATTTTCCCCAATAGTTGGGAGGATGATCCAATCTGACGAACTTCATCATTTTTCAGGGTAGGTCAACCACCAATGACTGATTTCTTTGTGCGGAAACTCGTGGCTTTCAACCGGGGCGGAAACGGCCCTCAGGACGTGGACGGCAACGTGTACTTTCCGGATGGCTGGCAGGAGCATTTTCCAGTGGAGGCCCGGTGACCGGCCCGGTGACCCCGATGAGGGAACGACCAGATCATGTGCAGCAATGCATATATATATATATACTGTATATATAATAATATTAATATATATATATATAATTGTTATTTGTATTATAGGTATTATTATTAACATATGTATACATTTGTGTTATGATTATTATTATAGTCTTATTAGTATTATTATTAATTATTATTATTAATTCTTATTATTAATTCTTATTATTAATTATTATTAATATGAAGTAAAAATAATCATATATATATATATGTATTAATTATTATTAGTATTATAGGTATATTACTATTATTATTTATTATTGTCGTATATACATATATGATTACATATATGTATAGTCTGGGTTATCTATAATGTATGTAACATACATAGAATGGGTTAATATTAGTAGAGTATATATATATATATACATATGTATATATATATATCGGTTTTATCCCCGGTTCTATCAGGTTATTATGTCAATCTATTTCAATGGATTGGTTTCAGGAAAAACCTACAGGAAGCCATTCATTTTTCCATGAAACATGGGGTTTCCATGGGTGTAAAATTTCCCTCAAACACATCCAATGAGTATCTCCTATTCTTGTTGGTTACATCCCTTTGCTCCTGTTGCTTCTATCCCATGTCCAGAAATGCCGACTCCGGAGGTAAGTCGTCGCAGCAGAAGCGATGACAAGTTCTCCTACGACTTCGTAGTTTATCGTCGAACTGCTCCTTGAGAATCGGTCCCTAGCAGCTAGCAGCAAGCGGATTCGAGCCATAAAGAATCATAAAGATACACAGATAATCATAGATAATCATAGATAATCATAGATAATCATAGATAATCATAGATAATCATAGATAATCATAGATAATCATAGATAATCATAGATAATCATAGATATAGAGTTTATCAATGCTTCAAAGTGTCAATGCCGCTACCTTAGGGGCCCATTGTCGGCGAACAGCTTGGGATTTTTAGACAGCCCAACAGCTTTGAAGGTAGGCCGTGTGCCGCCGACAATTTTGCCAAAAGCCACGTTTGCAGCCTGGGCCCGGTTCGAGGTGAAGACTTTTACCCAGTTTTACCATGAGCTTTACTAAGTGGGTATGGATCAATACCTATCAATACCATTTTTAGGGGGATGAACATCCATTTACCAGCTATTTTGATGTTCACCAGGGGCACAAGGTTTTGACACACTGCCAAGTTTCAATGAAACAACGATTTTCAGATTCTTCACTTGCTGTTTCCCTCCGTTCTTCTGAGTTTTTTGGTCCCCAGTCCTGAAAACCATCTAGAAGTGTTGGGTTGTACATTTCCAGGGTGCTTCAGTGGCATCACCTTAGATTAGAAATGACCCATGGAATCTCGAGGTGTCCAATCTTCTGAACTGGCTACGGGTTTAAATTCAGCACTCATACAAAGGTAGTTTTTTTTTTTGAGTTGCTTCGAAGTTTTCAATTTAATGGGTCCAGTTTGCCCATCTTCCACTCAGTGTTGGCACCACTGCACCCTTTGTTCCCAAAAAACTCATGGCAAGTGCATGGCAGTTCGAAGACTTTGCTGACATCCTCGATGCCGTGCTGCCGCCACGTGTGGCCAAGGTTTGAGCAGGCCGGGGCATGCTGATTTCACGCAAACATATAGAAGTGATACAATATGGTACAAAATATGACATGTCATATACATTGGTACCATTTTTTGATATTGAAATATCACATATATACATATACATATGTATATATATATATATATATTGAACATGAATTGTATAATATCTACCATATTGACCATATTCAATATAGTACCTAATGGTATAATATGATATTGGATTGGGATATTGAAGGCATCCTACCATTGGGTGCTCCTACAGTTGTTTTTTCCCTGTGACTTGACGGGTAGGTGGAGAAATGCCTGCCCTTGAGACGAGGACATGCGACAGATGGTGCATGACTTTCCGAATGTGGGAGGGATTACTTACTGTCGATTTTTCGATCACGTGTTTTCCAATTATGAATAAAGTGGGGGAGTGGATCCAAACCTCTTGCATATGTATATAAGTATATAATATATATATAATGTATATAAAGCATATGTTGTTGGGATGAACCTCTATTACCCAGCTATTTTTTCCATTTTTTGGTGTTCACCAAGATACCACCAGGCTTTTGACCTGCCATGTAGCCGCTTCCCGCAGCCGTGTCACCTGGCAGCGGCCCGATAAATAAAGCTGACGTCCAATGGATTGTCATTGAAGACTTCCAACATACTATTGATTCATTGACCATTGAAGCAACTACAATTGATACTTTTCCCAAGATACATTGATCATTTCAGGTTCATGTGTGTAGAAATTCAGTATCTTGGGAAAGCACCCAGGCACTATTCACTGCAGGTTAGATGCTGTTGCTGCTTTGGTTAGAAAAATGTGAATTTAACAGCAAGCATAACACAATCATGTATGAACGCAATTTCAGCTGGCAAAAAATGTAAGATGAACCAACCCGCATCCGCGGAAAATGATGAGATTCCACATCATTCTGGCTGGCGTCTCAGTGCCTCATGTTATCCTCCTCTGAGGGTTGAATACCCTTTCATTTACCCTCTAGTTATTTAACATAGCCATGGAAAATCCACCATTTTTAATAGGTAAACCATCTATAAATGGGCCATGGCTTCCATGGCTATGTTAAATAACCAGATGGTATATTCATTTGGTCATCACCCCAATAGCATTATGAAAGGTAGCCCCCTTCACTACTGGGCCTTGGACCCTGGAAATCCCCGAAAAACTGGCTGCAGGCAATGGAAGGAGACATAAACTATAGGCTGGTTGGTGGTTTCAAACATGACTTTTATGTTCCATTTCATATATGGGATGTCATCCGAAACCCATTGACGAAGTCATCTATTTTTCAAGATGGGCACATTTTTAACCACCAACCAGTAGGTCAATAACTTCATACGGTAGATCAGGTTTCAGTCCTGGATGAAATCAGCGGTGTCACTTGGAAGTACTAAACTTTACTAAACCACAGAGTCGGGCTTAGCGACGTCGCTAAGCGACGTCATTCTGCCGCTAAGCGACGTCCAAGAGGTATTTGGAGTTGTTAAAACCTTTTCTCCCAGCCTTAGATTGCAACATATTGCAACTAAGTAGAAGAATGCGAGCGCAACTCTTCCGGCAAACCTTCTCTCAATCACCAGTAGCCCTTTTTAGGGAGCGCATGTCAAAAGACCCTTGCAAAAACTATACTGATTTTGCCATCCCCTTGCCTACCTTTCGTTCTCCTGTGCTTGCTCTCAAGTGGTTGATTCGCTTATTGTAATTCATGTCCATGTTTCAACTTGCATTCATGAGACTTCCATTTCAGCATCATCTCCCCATATTATTCTTTGGTCATCATCTCCTCATGCAAGTTGTTGAGTATTCTTGAAACAAAATTTGTTTCGCAGACAAATAACACCATGTGCAACAACCATCATGATAATTCTAATCAATATGTTAATGATATATGTTATAACTTATAACAATAGTTTTAAGCTACAATAATACTAGTTATGATTCATGGTACTGTTTGCGTTTATATGTTCTTGCAAAATACTTCTGATAACAACTGATAATGGTCATTATGTGTTCTTATAGTAACGTTTTTCATAGCCCTTGGTTCACACGATGGACATCCCCCATTTCCCATCTAGGTCTTGGTGCTCCTTTGGCCCCTGGCGGGGCGACCGTGGCGACCACGGGAGCGGCGCTTGAGCGACAACAGCAGCAACGACACCGTGGGGGCCTTGAAGCAGAAAACTGGAGATCATCTGGTCATTGGCATTGGCCAACTACAATAGAAGTTCTCAGAAATAATATACAATATATATATATATATACAGTATACATCTACAATTATCCTGAAGTACATATATATATATACAGTATACATCTACAATTATCCTGAAGTACATATATATATATATACAGTATACATCTACAATTATCCTGAAGTACATATATATATACAGTATACATCTACAATTATCCTGAAGTACATATATATATATATACATATATATATATAGAATTTAATGGATGTTGAAACATGATCTTTTCAGTGAGTTTTTTTTGAACATTCCATATTCTATCTACTCCAGGATGACTATATACATTAATCTAATGTTTCATTGTGTGACTGCAATTCTTTTTCGCTGGGGTGTGTTCAATCCTCGCAACAACGACACCCTACCAAAGTCTTCTCCCCGTCATTTCACTATGAAATACATATGGGTGTTCTTCAAAAATTGGGGCAAAAAAAAACCTTATTGCACTCTTATCCTCATTTAATGAAGACCAATCATTTGGATACTACATGATTCCAAATGTTTTTTTTATTGCCCTCTGGTAATTTAACATAGCTATGTAATATCCCCATTTTTAATGGGTAAATCCACTATAAATGGCCATGTTCAATAGCTATTTTGACATAACCAGAGGGTAAACCTCCATTTTCCTATGGTTTTCCTATGGTTTTCCTATGGTTTTCCTATGGTTTTTGATGAGTCCAAAAGCATCTAAGTCACCACTGCGACGCCATGGGTGACCGTGGGTGACAGGTGTGTGTCACCACTGCGACGGAATACGTTGCGTTGCCGAGTCGACAGGCCCCCATTTCTCTGTGGATCAGAATGGATCAAAATGGCCATATTTTTGGTCATATATTGCATTTATATCTAATCGAAATGGCTGTATATATAATTATATAATTATATATATATTTATATTTGTACAGTATAATATATATATATATATATACTGTACATATATATATATATATACAGTATATATATATAATCCATATATTGGGGTATGCCCTAGTTACTGAGTTTCTTTATGTTTCTTTTATATCTAGTTCCAGGCCATCGAGTTTGATGCGATCGCCATCCTCAGCCGCTTGGTGAGAGGCCATCGACTCTATGTGTATGTTCATAGTGGTTACCCTTTGGTTATGTCAAAATAGCTATTGAAAATGGCCATAGAAATAGTGGATTTACCCATTGATTGCATGGTGATTTTCCATAGCTTTTTGCAGGTTTACCAGAGGGTAATAGTGTTTAAGAATGATAATTTAAAAACAGTGTTTAAGAATGATATTTTTTCTAGTGTTTCATAATGATAATTAAAGGTGGTTAATGATTGGTTAATGGTGATCAATGGGGATTAATGGAGTACCCTTTGGTAATTTCTTACATAGCTATTGAAAATGGCCCATTTATAGTTGATGTACCATATTTACCTATTAAAATGATGGTGATTTTCTATAGCTGTGTTAGTTTACCAGAGGGTAATAGACTTGACGCTTAATTTGATGGTGAAACCCAGCAACAATCATTAACGATGAGTGTTAATTATAACATTTTTTCTCGAAAAGGACATTTATAGTTGAGTGTTGTATTTAGTGTTGAATGCTCCTGATATTCAATGTATTTGGTGGTTCAATCCCATTTTATAATCCCCATGAGACCGATGTTTACGGGGCAACCTTGGATGGTTAAGTTTAGTACTAACAAATATCTCACCACAAATGCGGGTGTATCTATCTATCTATCTAACTATCTATTTATCTATCTATCGATCTATCTATCTAACTAGCTATCTATCTATCGTTCTTTCTTTATTTCTTTCTTTATTTCTTTCTTTCTTTCTTTTTTCCTTTCTTTCTTTCTGTCTTTATTTTTTTTCTTTCTTATCTATCTATCTATCGTTCTTATCTATCTATCTATCTATCTATCTAGCTAGCTATCTATGTATCTATCTATCTATCTATCTAGCTATCTATCTATCTATCTATCCTATCTTATCTTATCTTATCTTATCCTATCCTATCCTATCTTATCCTATCCATCTATCTATCTAATCTTATCTTATCTTATCTTATCCAATCTTATCTTACCTTATCCAATCGTATCTTATCCTATCTATCTATCTGTCTGTTTGTCTGTCTATCTATCTATCTATCTATCTATCTATCCACTTAATGTTGTATACTAGACTATACTAGTACTATGTATATTTACTTTCCAGCACTAGCCAGCTAAAAGTGTAGTTGTTTGCAGGGTTTCGAAGATAGGTCAAGTTTGTCAGGTTGTTGCATCCGATGGCAGTGGCGTTTGGCCTTTTAGATGTTTAAAGACCCTGAGGCTTGAAGATGTTGATCAATGACATGAAAACGTTGCTTCAAGAGTTGATGTTTCATAAACCAAGAGTCTGTGGCTTTCGGCTGCAAAATGATGCAAAGCACTTCCCCCAGATGCTTCATGTTCAAACTGTCTTGAAATGTACAGTTGGCGGCTTGTGCCCCACTACACTATGATTGCCATTTCGATTGTTGGTATATGCTGGTATCCTTTAAGCTGTTGCTTAAACCCTGGTTTGGTTAGGTACAACTGGCACAATTATACTGCATTATCCTTACAACGATGAGAGCCCTTTGTGTTTGCGATTCTATCAGCATGTAAGTTCATTGGGTTTCTCTAAACCTATTGGTTTCCCCAAAACCTTACCGTTGGTTTCCCCAAAATATGTCGCTTACCCCAAACACCTCACCAAGTTTTTTGCTCCAGAACTTGGATGCCGATTCTCAGGTGGGATGGGTGCAGGTGTTGTGTCGATGCTGGCAGTCTTTGGTGCGGCGCCTCAGCTGGGAAGAGGTCAAGCTGTCAAGCTGGGGAAGACCTATTGGGCTGGCTGAATTTCGCTTGTATCTCATACTTGGTGCAGGGTCAACCCCACTATTTGGTCAACCCCAATTTGGGGCAAGGTTTCTGGAAAGACGGCAAGACCCTTGAAGAAAGTTCTTACATTTCTCACATTTCTCAAGGTTCGGTGACGTGTGGGTCAGTCCAATGATCATGATCGAATCGATATGAGAGGTACCCCATTTTCAGTGACATATCTAATCTGGTTCGTATCCCATGATATTGCCGTCTCCCATCATGGTAGATTAAAATCACATGAATTCCCATTTTAACCCAACATCTCCCCATCTTTAAATAGCAGGCTCAGTCCCATCATTATTCAATACTATTCATCATTGTCCAAAGGATATCCAAGTTTACTAACCATAGGATATCCATTTTGGATATCCATTTTGGATATCCATCCAAGATATCCCATCATTCATCATCCCATCATTCATCGTCCAACTTTACTAACCGCACGATGTCCCCAGTGGCTGTCCCCACGGATGTCCCGGCGTGGCTGTCACTTAGTAGGTGTACATAAGATGCTTCTCTGCCTTCGAGCTCGAGGAGATGGTGATGTCTGGATCCCCGTCGTCCGTTTTTTGGAGGAGAACTGAAAAGGTACCCCCATGCCTCAGGAAAGCTCCAGGTATACAAATAAGGTATTATTTACATATATATACAATATATACAATATATACAATATATACAATATATACAATATATACAATATATACAATATATACAATATATACAATATATACAATATATACAATACATACAATATATACAATATATACAATATATACAATATATACAATATATACAATATATACAATATATACAATATATACAATATATACAATATATACAATATACAGAATATATACAATATATAGAATATATACAATATATACAATATATACAATATATACAATATATACAATATATACAATATACAGAATATATACAATATATAGAATATATAGAATATATACAATATATACAATATATACAATATACAGAATATATACAATATATAGAATATATACAATATATACAATGTATACAATATACAGAATATATACAATATATAGAATATATAGAATATATACAATGTATACAATATATACATGTAGTTATATGTACATCCTGTATCATCCTGTATGTATATATACATATGCAATTATATGTACAGTATGTTAAAATATGTAGATAGATAGATAGATAGATAGATATATATATATATGTATACGTATTTTATTTTAGTGTAGAGAAAGAAGAACAATATGGACATATCACATACATATATATATACACATTCATATGTATTTGTACAATGAAGTGTTTTCATCAATGTACATTGACAATGTAGACTACAAAATGTACATGTAGAATCACATCATCACAGCGGTTCCCTGTACCTGTATCTTGAGGTGGGATCAACATTTCCACACCCTTTACAAAATGTCAAAGGTGTACAGAGCTTTGCAACCAGGTATGATTCCTTGCGGTGGAATGGTAAGGTCGCTTCCTAGACTAGCAGCAGTTTCGCTGTCTAAATTCAAGCAAATGATGCATAGAATGACTATGATATCTATGATTCTTGGATGCTTGTCCTAGAACTGAGCTGTTTTGGGGGGGATTCGCTGTCACCTGGCACCAAACTGAGGTGTTCCGCGGAATTCAAGCGCTGAGGGGCAAGAAAGTTCCGTCGAAGCAGACGATCCGTGAAACCAAGAGCCCTGCCGGTTGATGCGGTTCGGACTAGGCCCTGCCACCTGGTTTGATGGGGATTATGGAAAGTTATGGACATGGACTACTCTTATGGAAACATATGGAAACCAATATCAACCAACCAACAGGTCCAGTATGTTTCTGATGCTGTCTATTGTTTCTACCACACTCCGCTTGGTGTAAGAACGAGAAGCAAGCCAAGATCTGGTGTCTTAATTGTCCAAGTCTCACTGCAAGATATCTCATCCTCAAGTCAAGGGTGAGCTGTGGCAATGCTCGTTTGTGCTGAATTTCATAGTGCGGCCTCATAATATGTTTGTTGCGGTGACATGTTTACCAAAGCAACCCGGTAGCTTCCCAGAGACTGCGTGCGCAAAGCGCTACTCAGTTGATTGCCAGCCAGAAAAATGGGCTCAAACGTATATGGACGATCCGACTCCTTTTCCTGACCATAGTCAGATTGTATAAACGCAAACTGACCGATACTACTCTATTCTATACTGTTGCCGATCAAAATGCAGCTGCAGTAAACCTGTGCACTGGAGGACGTTCTGAAGGCTCAAGGAATATGACGTAATTTGATGTAATTTGTTTGAACCATCCGTTGTCACATGTTGTCACGATGCCTCTATCGACTGTTTGGGTCCCACAAACACCACCTATTTTGGTGTGGGAACCAGGGTGCTAAAAGGATTTTGTCTCAAAGCCGATATAACCAAGATTTTTGTGGGGATCGTGATATAGATATATAGTCCAGATTGATCCATTTGGGGGATTCAACCCCAAAACATGTCTACATGTCACATGGTGATTTCAACAAGACATTGGAGTATGGAGCAGCCTGCAACATGACAGCCTTGTACAGGAGACGCGACGGCGCAGGAGTCCTGAGCCCAGCATGGACAGGGCCAGACACGCAAACATTGAAATCACCCGAAGAATCCAGAAGAATTGTTCTGGCAGGATGGTCTCAAGATGAATGTTCTTGATGTTGTTTGTCTCATGAATCAAAGCAGCAAGAAGCAAAAGCGATCAGATCCCGGGTTTTTGCACAGTTTCAATCCAATTCCCCTTGACAATAGGTCCTTTATGACTCTATGCGCATCCAAGACCCCAAAATGAACGGATCCACTACCACACCTGGGTTTTCCAGTCAAGGCAGTGAACCACCAAAGAATGGCAGGGAAGATTAACACGCCTACATTCAGAAGGCCTGCTATCACGTGGCGCTTGAGCTGTTGCATGAAGGGGAATGACGTTTGATACTTGGGATTTCCACGGTCAGCTCCAAAAATATTAGGCTTTGTTTGCGAATTATGTGGGAAAACCATGGAAAAGCTCTAAATCCAGCGGCTTATCATCAGTTTCCCATAGTTTCCCTATGAAACAGTGCCATTTTGAGGGCTACCATGACCCGCTTGAGGTGGATCCGTCGAATGTCCAGTGCCGAGTCAAGTTGCGGAAGAAAAAATGAAGCTGCCAGCGACCACGTTGGGGAAACATGGTATACATGTAGGATTTCAGTTTGCTTACCTCCATCCGTTGAAACACGACAAAGAAGAACAATTCGGGACCCTAAAACCAATTGCACCTGCGAACTTGCCGGCAAACAAAACAGCGCCTATCCACTGACGCCAAGTTCCCGAAAACAATCAACCTGACTCCGTTACCTCAGATGAGCATCCGACAATATTATCGTCTGAACAATCAAGTAGAGGGCTGCCTTGAACTTTGCCTGTCTGCACGAACCTTCACAATCGATAAGGGAAGACTACCCAACACCGATGCTGCTAGATTCCATCAAGTTCCTAGAACAATTTGCAGTAATTAATAGTAATTATATATACATAGTAGATTGATATAGATTGTCTATTCTATTTCTGCTGGAACGCAAGCTTATTGTTTGGGCAATTCAAGCACCATTCTCACCGATACCCCAAGCTATGCTAAGCGATACCCAATTTTGCCGTCTTTATCATCGGCCAAGACCTTGCCCCACAGGTACTACTGGCACAACTACTTCTGCTTTAACTAATTTCTCATCCTCCTGCAACAACAACACCAACCAAAAAGAATAGTAAGGAAGGAAGGAAGGAACTAAGCAAGCAAGGAAGTAAGCAAGGAAGTAAGGAAGGAAGTAAAGAACAAAGGAACTAAGTAACAGAGCAACTAAGTGACTACGTAGGTGAGTCAGTCAGTTAGTCAGTTCATCAGTTAGTCAGTTTGTCAGTTTGTCAGCTAGTCAGTCAGTCACTCACTCAGTCAGTCAGTGTTTGTTTGTTCGTTCGTTTGTTGGTTTGTTTTTGTTTGTTTTGTTTGTTTTGTTTGTTTTGTTTGTTTGGTTTGTTTGGTTTGTTTGGTTGGTTTGTTTGTGTGCTTGTGTGTTATTTACTTAGTTAGTTACTTAGTTAGTTACTTACTGCCTAGTTACGACCCTATGTTAAATTCAAATTCCAAGGGTTCTGCAGGGCAGCCAGTCGGAACACCATTAAAGACACACATCAAACATCTCGAGTTCAGATGCAAGAGGCCTGGCATAGATGGCACAACCGATTATGAAAAAGGGCAAGCCCTTGTGAGGTGTCAAATTTCCCAAAAGTCGCCGCCATCTATACGAGCACGTTCGAATTGGACAGAGCCATACTTTTTCAAACCGGTGTAGTTGTTCAGTTTCTTAGGTAGCTAGGTACTTAGGTAGGTAGTTAGTTAGTTAGTTAGTTAGTTGGTTAGTTAGTTAGTTGGTTATTTAGTTAATTTGTTTGTTTGTTTGTTTGTGTGTGTGTTTGTTTGTTTGTTTGTTTGTTTTTTTTGTTTGTTTGTTTGTTTGTTTGTTTGTTTTGTTTGTTTGTTTGTTTGTTTGTTAGTTAGTTGGTTAGTTAGTTAATTTGTTTGTTTGTTTGTGTGTGTTTGTTTGTTTGTTTGTTTGTTTGTTTGTTTGTTTGTGTGTGTGTGTTTGTATGTTTGTTGGTTGATTGGTTTGTTGGTTGGTTTGTTGGTTTGTTTTTTTTTTGTGCTTGCTTGTTTTCTTGCTTGTGTCTTTTTTAGTTACCTAGTAACCTAGTTTGTTTAATAGTTAGTTCAATATTTTGTTTGTTAGTTTGTTACTTAATTAGAACGTAAGCAATTAAGAAAGTAAGCAAGCAAGTAAGTACGAAAGTAAGTAAGAGTAAGTAAGAGTAAGTAAGCGTTTAACTAAGTAAGTAAGCAAGCAAGCAAGTAAGTAAGTAAGAAAGTAAGTAAGTAAGAGTAAGTAAGAGTAAGTAAGAGTAAGTAAGAGTAAGTAAGAGTAAGTAAGAGTAAGTAGGAGTAAGTAAGAGTAAGTAAGAGTAAGTAAGAGCAAGTAAGAGTAAGTAAGAGTAAGTAAGAGTAAGTACGAGTAAGTAAGAGTAAGTAAGAGTAAGTACGAGTAAGTAAGAGTAAGTAAGAGTAAGTAAGAGTAAGTAAGAGTGAGTAAGAGTGAGTAAGAGTGAGTAAGAGTGAGTAAGAGTGAGTAAGAGTGAGTAAGAGTGAGTGAATGAGTGAGTGAGTGAGTGAGTGAGCAAGCAAGCAAGCAAGCAAGGAAGTAAGTAAGTAAGTAAGTAAGTAGGAGCAGCAGGAACAGGAGCAGGAGCAGGAGTAGGAGTAGGAGCAGCAGTAGCAGTGGCAGCAGCAGTAGAAAGCAGAAGGAGAAGTAGAAGTAGAAGTGGAGGTAGAGGTAGAAGTCGAGGTAATAGCATTAGAAGTAGTGAAGCGAAAATATCCACAACCGATTGGGGATGACCTAGTTTTGCTTGTGGCATTTACGAGGAACATCGAGGAACATAAAATATCGTCGGCCATTCATACTATGTTAGTTTGTACGGTGCGTCGTGTCGCACGCTATAGTCAAATGCGTTTGGAATACAATGTTCGTTTGCCTTCCCATGCCGTGAAACGCAAACTCAGAGATTCCCGTGGGCTCCGATCCCATTTGAGATCATGAAAGGCACAGCCAGAACCACTGGCTCCGGAAGCTGCACCCAAATCTTCGAAACGACGCTGAGAGTTGCCTGAAGAAAATCTTTCGATCCGCCCACAAATGACTTTAAAATAGGCTATACAGAAAAAAAAACACAAGAATCCAACTGTCTATCGTGTATCACCCCTTTTACACGCGCTAATGCGAAGTCGTGGCGAACTCAAGCGATGTACAGTGAGGATGCAACGTGGCAGCCACTCGCGCTGAGGCCTGAGGGCCCTTGAATTTCACTGGCACGACGGGCGAATGATACGACAAACCACAACAGCGTCAAAGATATTTCTGGCCGGCCTCATAGCTGATTTAAATGTTAACTATGTTTGTTGGGTTGGCAGCAGGCCGTGGAAGCGTGCTGAATGTTTGTTATTGCTGTTGCTAATGTTGTTATCGTTGTCCTTGTTTGCTTGTTTGTCATTGTTTTGTTGTAGTTGCGCTGTTGTTTTGTCGTTGTAGCTGTATTTGCTTTACTTGCGGATGCTTTGTTGATGTTTGGTTGTGTATGTGTGTGTTTCTCTTGCAGGTGTGTTTGATTGATTTGTTCTTCCCCACCTGCCATGTGAGGGCCTCTAGATTTTGACAACACATCCAGCACCCTTCCTTCCCTATCCTTCCCCTTCTTTTCCCTTCCCATTGTCCTTCCCTTTTCCTTTTTGCTCTTAATTTTACTTGTCCCTTTCCCTTTTCATTCCTCTTTCCTTTTCCTTTCCCTCTTTCTTTTTGCCTTTACTTTCCTTTTTTCCTGTTTTTGCTTTTCCTTTTTCCTTGTTTCTTTTGCCTTTTTCCTTTTTCCTTTTTGCTTGTCCTTTTCCTTTTCCTTTTCCTTTTCCTTTCCTCTCCGCTTCCCCTTCCCCTTCCCTTCCCTCTCCCTCTCCCTCTCCCTCTCCCCCTCCTCCAAAAAAATGATAAAAGGGGGCTCCTCGGGAGTATATGTTGGTATGTTGGTAGTTTTTTTTGTGTTGCTGTTTAACATCCTATCACTGTTTTTGATGTTTTCCCTGGGGCATTCTGGTGTTAATTTATCA